TTTTAAGAGCAGTTGACAGTGGCCGCAAGAAGAAAGATGTTGCGGAGGACTTCAAGATCCCACCCAGCACATTGTCTACTCTCTTAAGTTCGAGGAAGAAGATTGAAGAGACCTACGCCAACAGCACTCTGAAAGGCGACAGAAAGCGTGACAGGCCTTCTCATTACCCCGATGTGGAAGATGCTTTGTTCTCCTGGTTCAAGGACGTGAGAGCGCGAAACTTGCCGGTGTCTGGTGCTCTTCTGCAAACGAAAGCCGTCAGTTTAGCGTGCCTCTTGGGGCATCATGACTTCAGGGCAAGTAGCGGTTGGCTTCAGCTCTTTAAGAACCGGCACGAGATCGTCTGCCACACCCTGTCTGGCAAAGGATCCGCTGTTAACTTGGACTCCTGCGAGAAATGGCTCGAAAACTTCCGACCTCTACTCCAAGAATACGAAGAACGTAACGTATACAACGTCGACGAGACTGGAGTTTTCTACAAGTTGTTGCCGGAGCGGTCATTGGCTGTGAAAAACGAAACCTGCCATGGAGGGAAGAAGCACAAAGACCGGGTAACTGCTGTCGTTGCGGTCAACATGGATGGCTCCGACAAGAGGCGGTTGACCGTCATCGGAAAGTCTGCTCGCCCTAGGTGCCTACGGGGTGTTCGAAATCTGCAGGTTGATTACTGGTCAAACAAAAATGCGTGGATGACGACGAAGCTCTTCGAGGACTGGCTGAAGGCTTTCGATGAGGACATGGAGGAGCAGCATAGGAAGGTCCTTCTTCTGTTGGACAATTGTTCGGCGCACAAGGTGTCTTGCCCACTGAAGGCAGTCCGCCTAATGTTTCTGCCACCCAACACAATGCCGGTTCTCCAGCCCTTGGATAAGGGCATCATCCGTTCTTTGAAGTGCTCGTATCGGAAGCGTTTGGTGACGCAGCTTGTGTTCGACATGGACTGGCGCCAACCCACAGCCATCAACACGAAGACAACGTTGACAATGCTGTATGGATCTTGGAATGACGTGAGACGGTCAACGATAAGGAACTGTTTCGTAGATGCCGGCTTCGTTCTGTCCTCTGACGAAGTACATCCTGAAGACCCAGTGGCGCAACTTGACGAGACGCCGTGGGATCGGTTGACGTTGCCGGATAGTATCACATTCGAAGACTTCGTCTCCGTTGACGACAACTTGGCCGTGGCGCCCGAGCTAACGGACCAAGAAATCGTGGACCGTGTTGTGTTGCCCGGAGAGAATAGCGGCACTGACAGTGAAGGTGAGAGCGACGACGACATTGAAGAACCTCGCACAAGTACTGCGGATGCCGCGGACATGGTGACAAAGCTGCGAAGCTACTTGGAGAAGCTCCCCACGGCAAAAACCACTGAAGTGGAGAAGGCTCTCGCCTGCGTGGACACTGTCGAGAAGTTCATACTACTCAATGCCGTGAAAGTCCACCAATCGAAGATAACGTCTTTTTTCAAATAAATTCGATTGCGGACTCTGGCAACATGGTTCCTCAGTTGTAAATTCGTGCCGGTTCAACTTTTTTAATCCTACCCTAGGTGACAGGTAAGGATTTATATGTTTATTACGGGATTCGAATTCCCCTACAGTCCGTTTTTATATCTTAGCATTATGCATGTTCGAGCACTTTTTGCATGGGCCCAATTGCCGTTGTGTTTGTACAAATTTTTCTGAGTACTTTTATAACGAATATTGGATATAACGAACGAATTTGCGCGCCCTATGCTACTTCGTTATAACGAGGTTGGACTCTACTGCAATATTTAGGGTCACAAAAAATGTATACACCTTCACTAGCCGCTTGCTAAACAGGTAACTTTCCCACAAAAGTCTTTTTTAAAAAAGTTTGGTGCAAGTTAACTGTGAAAGTGAACAGGAAGCGGTAGAAGAACTGCCTGCACCGCTTGCAGGGCTAGCAAGGACCAACACGCATGTTCTGTGGATACGTCGCTTTGCCCCTCCCCTTCATGTGGTAACTTCTAGCATCATTCTCTCCACAGGCCAAGCCAAATTGCACTCCATCTATGCTGAGCATTGCATTGGTGATGGCAACATTATCACTGATAGCAGCAGGTGCCATATTCTGGGCGACCTACAATAGTTCCACCCAAATTGTCATATTGGGTGCTACAAACCACCGTCATCGAAGCGAAGTTTTCTTAAACATCTGTCCGACTTAGTCACTTTTATATTTTGTGTCGTAGGTGTGCAACGGCAATAAGAGGAATACATATGTAACATCCCAACATTCAAAATGATCTCTAAAATATGCAAATGAGACAGTGCCTGATGCCAGCTTAAAAAGGTACTCTATGAGCTAGTTACACCTTTGTGCCTGCTTGGGCGTGCTCATGGTTGTCCAAAGTTTGGGTGCCCATGCCCCCAAAGCATTGGCACACCCGTCAGGCTTGCACAAAACAGTGCCTGCTGCTGTCTGGAGCCATGTCGCCCGCCCAAACAGCAGTGCTTAGTTTTCCTTTTATGAAGCCACTCCTTGTGGCTCAGTATGTCGGTAGTACCATGCTGGATATGATCAGATTGTACAGTGGGGACAGAACACACTGGTTCTTCCATGCTTGTGCTGACAGGCAGTATGGCCATGTAATTCAGACACTGCATGTAAAGAAGTAAAAATATGATACCTAACACAGTGTTAAAGTTTACAGATCCTGCGACTATAGATTGTACTTTTCTTTGCAGCTGGCTCTTGAAGCCACACTCCGGCTCAGCACTATGGTTCCCGAGATGGAACTCAAAGTTCGCGAAACTCGAGCACTACTAAACAAAGAAAATTTCCATGATATTGACCAGGACCTACGGCCCAGCAGGGCAGAGTTCTCTCTGATAAGCGAGGTAAGAGCGGTTTTCCACTCTAATGTAAAAAAACACAACCAGTGTGATTCTGAAAGCAGATACGTGAGAAAGCAGATTGTTAAAAAAGCATATTGTCACAGGTGGTGACCAAAAGAACAATAAATAAACAGAAAGAAATAAGCAATTAATGTGGCAAATTTGTACAAAAAAAACGGGTACAAAAGATAATAACAGAGCGTCGCGGGCGTCGCAGTCGGCGTAACAGCAGAATCGATTGCTGGGGCAAAACTGACTGCGGCTCGTCACGCGGAGCCCCTTATGCACATGCGTGAGCTTCTGCGAAAATCGGCGTAGAATGTTCGACGCGTAAAACATTCGGACCTCGAACAAGCCAACAGGATTCTCAAATTTACCAGAAAACTAAATTGCAGGAAAAACAAAAGATGCGTCGCTCCCAGGAATCGAACCCTGGCTTTTCGCGTGGGAGGCGGGCGCAATAACCGTTAGGCCATGCGCGCGCAGCCTACTTGGCCAGCTGCACGCGCGGCATTACTCCCCTCTGTAAAAAGTGCATCGCCCCGATGCAACACAAAGCAAATAAAAATAACGGTAGACTAAAGAGTCATCTGGAACACATAAGGTCTACAGTCCTATCGAGCGTAGTACGGCTTCAGGCGCACGACGTGGACGACTGCAGGTCGTGGTGGGCGGCGTGATGATGTTCTTGTTCCGTCGGGCATCACCTCGTAGTTCAGATCTCCAAGTCGACGAAGTACAGTCAAACCTCGATATATCGAACACGGATATATAGAATTACTGCCTATATCGAACGCTTTATACATCACGCGGAAAATCGCATGCATTTTTTATTTCGAACGGGGTCGGCCATAAAATGGATATATTGAACTCCGCCATCCCAAACAGCCTGCGCTCTTTTGACAGGTGGTGAGCTTTCCCGCAACACCCTCGAAGATAGCGGTGGCGCGATGGGCGTTTCCGACTGCCTACACACACGCCGAGGGCGCCATTTGAACGTAGCGGCGCACGCATGCCGCTGCCTGGATAGTTTGTCGCAACGTCAACGACGCACTGCATTTGCCGCACCGACTCCTCCTCCTCAGTATTATCGGTAGTGCTACGCGTGTGATCGTAGTTCTTTTGTGTGTCGTGTTGCCTTGCGTGAGTGATAACTCCAAACGCTAATAAATGGACGTCCCTGACATATGCTGAAAAACTGGAAGCTATCCAGCGGGTTGAGAATGGAGAAAAAAAGTTGAGCGTCGCCAAAGCTTTAGGTCTACCAAGAAGCACTTTGAGTACTCTACTGAAAAACAAGAGTGACATAAAGGCCAAGGCAGAACAGAACCAGCACTCAGGCGCGCGACGTGTATGCAAAGATGCCTTTGAAGATGTTGAGAAGTCGCTGCACAAATGGTTCATCGACGCAAGGGCCCGGAATATTCCTGTATCCGGACCGATGTTATAACAGAAGGCCAAGAACTTTGCATTCATTCTCGGCGCCGAGAACTTCAATGCCAGTAGCGGTTGGCTGCAACGTTTTAAGGCACGCTTTAACATTCTCGGGACGACAGTCTTGGGGAAAAGTGAGGACGCCAATGAAGAGGAAATCAAGAAGTGGCTTCATCAAGAGCGGCCCCAGGTTCTCGCCAAGTATGAGCCGCACCAGATAATTAATGCGGACGAAACAAGCCTCTTCTGGCAAATGCTCCCTCGACAAACGCTGGACACCCGTGGAGACGCGTGCCACGGCGATAAGCAAGGCAAGGCCTGAGTGACAGTTCTATTGGCTGCCAGTATGGATGGAAGCTCAAAGCTGGAGCCAATAGTCATAGGCAAGTTTCAAACCGCGAGGTGCATGCGCAACTGCCCCAGTATTCCGGTGACATATGCCTTCAACAAGAGGTCATGGATGACTAGGGATATATTCCAAAAATGGTTGAAGGCGTGGGATTCGGACCTGGCGTGTCAGGGCCGGAAGGTATGCCTCATAGTTGACAATTGCACGGCACACCACACCGATGTCCAGCTGAGCAATATTGAAATTAAGTTTTTGCCGCCTAACACCACGTCCAAGCTGTAACCATTGGACCAGGGCATTATTCGCACTTTCAAGTCCATCTATAAGCGTCGGCTGATTGACATTTTGCTTGCTAAACTCCGGATGAGACAAGATGTAAAGATAGACCTTGTGGATGCGATTCAAATGCTGAAAGCCTCTTGGGACAGCGTCAAGCAGGCGACAGTAGCTAACTGCTTTCGGCATGCGGGCTTCGTTGGCCACAATGAAGCTTCAGAGGAAGCAACCGACGAAGCAGGAATGGACGGTACAGAGGAAGACTGCGAGCTCAAAGAAACCTGGAGCAAGTTGGAGTGCTTTGTTGGTGCTAAGCCACGAAGCATGTGCATTGATGACTTTGTTGGCGGTGACGACACCACCGGAACAACGGCGGAGTTGACATATGTGGAGATCGCTGCGGAAGTTACAGCTGGGCGGCCAAGCGAAGACGTTGCCGAGGCTGATCCCGCAAGCGCTGATGGTGCTCCGCTCCCGACTTCAACCGAGGCTGATGCTGCTTTGGCCCTTCTACGCCGCTACTGGGGCACAATAGAAGGCATGGGCCTATTGCTTGTTGATCGTTTAGACTATGTTGAGGACGCCTTAGTTAAACACGCCCTTGCCAACAAGAAGCAGGCTACCCTGCAGCAGTACTTCCAGCCAAAATAAATACTTTGTTCGAAGCTTCAAGTGAGTATTTACTGCACCACGGTTGGTTCATTGATTGATTTGTACAACGGGGTATTCTTTTTAGAGCGCAGCTCTTAGGGGCCCGTTTCCAGCCTGAGCGGCGTCGGCGTCGCCGTTGGCGTCGCCGTCGGCGTCGCCGTCGGCGTCGGCGTCGGCGTAACCGCGCCCTCCCTCTCCTCCTCCTCCCCTTCTCCTCCTCTTCCTCCCCCTCCTTCTCCTCCTCCCCTCATTGTGTAGTATGGTCCGGGCGGGTCACGCGACCTCGGGGGAAGGGGGTCACATGACCCGTTTCCAGCCTGTGCGGCGTCGGCGTCGGCGTCGCCCCTCCCCTTCCTCCTCCTCCCCCTCCGCTCCTCCTCCTCCCCCCTCCTCCCCCGCCCAGGTTACGTGACCCCGTGGGGTGACTCCCCTCCCCCGCCGGTCACGTGACGGCCCACCCAAGGTCATGTGACCCCCCGGACCTCTGCCCTCCTCCTCCTCCCCCTCCTCCTCCTCCCCTCATTGTCTAGTATGGTTCGGGGGGGTCACGTGACCTCGGGGGGAGGGGGTCACATGACTTCAGCGGCGAGGAGGAAAGCAGTACGAAGGTGGAGGAGGGGGGGAGGAGAGACGAGGAGGCGAGGGGAGGGGAGGAGCTTGAAGGACGAGGAGGTGGTAAAGGAGAGGGAGGGGGAGCAGGAGGGGAGGAGGACTAGCAGGCATGATCACGAGGGAGGAGGAGGAATATACCCTCCACTCCTCCTCCTCAAGAGCTGCGCTCCAATTCGGCGTTACAGGAAGTTGTAAACGGCTTTCACTTTTTTTTTTTATTTATTTTAGTTCAGCATCCAAGCATCCTGTGTGGTTGCGATTGGCAAAAAAACTTAGCAACAGGCACATCTATGAGACCCCATTTGGTAAGATGGTAAAATTTGCTGTGCATGTTTTAGTGCACCTCTCTGGTGCACTTGCAAGATTTATTTCCTTCAATCAGCTGCCCCCAGAAGCACAGGCCACATGTGTGACTACCCTGCAGAAATGGACCAAATTCTTTATTTGCTAAACAGCCAAAGTCTTCAATGTGACCAAGGAAAAATAAGATTTGCTTTGACTTCTGCAATGGGACATATTGATTTCTTGCAATCAAAAAGCTTGAGGATTTTGCAGTGGCAGTTTCCTTCTCTCCAACAACCTCACACAGTAAGAGGATATGGCAAATCACCGTCAATGCCATCCACTTACTGTAGGAAGACCTCAGGCAGAACTCAGGCGAGAGGACATGTTTGGCATGGTACGGTAGCAGCATGGCTGCAACGAGACGCCCAATTCCTACCATTCTGTGGCATGTATAAAACACATATTCCTTGGAAAGATGTTTCAGCTTCCTAGTGGAGGAAACTGAGGTAGTCTATGCCACACTGCTGGTGGAATTGAGGCATCTCCCAGTGTCGGCTGCAGCCAGCCACCAGCCTGAGCCACTGCCATCAATTGATGCTGACGACCTTATATTACCTGGTGATCTAAATCAAGACATTGTTCAGGAAAACATACTCTATCACTTCTCTGGGTACCTGGCTGAGTCATTTTTTAAGAAGGTATTTTGCCACCTTTGCCCAAGCTTGCTGAAAGCTGCAAGTGGTGACCTAACGTCGAAAGTCCAATTTCGTGCCTTGCTTCAAGCGGACGCACCTGACTCAATTTTTAGTTCTTTTAGTGCTCCATCAGATTCTTTGATTCAAGGTGCTCCACCAGATTCTTTGTTTCAAGGTGCTTTAGCATATTTTCCTTGAGCAGCAGCACATTCAAAAGCCCAAGGTTGCTGAGCGCATTGTGCATGCCCTGGTGCCCCATTCCGAAGGTCACTTCTGTAGCACAGCATCCACAGTGCAGTTCCTCCACTTCATGAATGTGCACCTGCATTGGCACATTCTGCTCGCTAACAGGAATTTACTGAAATTTACTGGCTCCCCTTGGAGGATAGTGAACTGCAAAAGGAGTTTGTAAATATGTGTTTGAAATATCGCAACTCATTTGATGGTGTTCAGTAAAAAATGCATTTCAATGATTGTGCTGTTTCTGTTTAATCACACCAATATCAAGTGAAGCACATTTGTTGTAAAGTATAGCGCGAGCAGCTCGTCTGCTCAACCAGTGCCATGGCCGCCACTCGCAGCGGCCAGTGCAACACAAATCAAACAGGCAAACCGAAACAAAAAACGGGAGGAGGAGGAGGGGGCAAGGAGGGTGCACGCCAACGACTGTGGTGGCGCCATCTGGCCGTCTTTCAAGATACTTTCGTCTCCCACCGTACGTATGTTCACCTTTCTGTTGCTAGCACCTTGTGGCGCTAGTTTCTCCTTACCACGGTGGAGACTGGAGCTGCATTCGGCTGGCCCAAATCCGTAACAGTTGAAAGCAGAATTTAATTGGACGACGCCACCGGTTCGGTTACACCTCGTAACTGTGCCATCGTTCTAATAGTTTTTGATTTCATAACAGTGTCCAAACACTTACAGTCTAACGATTTGTTTATATTCACACTTAACCTACTTGTATAACCACTTCAATGTGCAGGACGGCATTTGTTGAGACCACTTACACTTTTGGTGTTGGCCAATGTATCACGCAAGTCCGATCCAATCCATCCGTTGGGTATTTCTGAAGCAGCAGTTAGGTTTGTTCACTATCACTTCCCGCCGTGTCGGCAGTCGTCGTGCATCGTGAAAGGTATGTTAATAGAGGATTAGCCAGTTGAAGTGTGTTTATAGAAGCCACCTCCAATTGTCCGAGAACATACACACGCGTATGTTCACCGCTGTGTGTGCTCCTGCTGCGCCTTTGCTGGCAAAGCTGCAACAGTGGCCACTTTGACCTGTACAATTCATTGTTATATACGCTGGTGGCAACAATATCAGCACTGAGTGAGACGCTTGGGACATTTGTCGCAACATCCCTTTAAGTTGTCATGTTTTTGTTTTGTTGTGGAAATGTAAAGTGGCCATGTGTGAACAACTTATCTGTTCATTTGTAAGACCTGGTGAAGCTGATTCAGAACATTGCGTCCACGGTCAACGTCTACAAGTGCTGGTGCAATGTTGGGTGGATGCCCAGGCTTAGGCCAGGTGACAAGTGCTCAACCACTTGCTGGCAAGCGGAGTGCACTATATGAAAGACGTGGTTGTCATCAATTCGGATGCAAGCTGAAGTTGGTCAGTGCACAATTTTTATTTTAGCACTGTGCTTACACACAGGTATCAGGAGCAGTCTTCATCAATGAATGTCTCCTCTTTCAACCTAAATGGTCCTCCCTTCGTGGACAGAAATGTGGCTAGCCCATAGGCTCCCCAAGTTCATGGACAATGCTGTAGACCTGTGCATTCATTTTGTCTTTTCTTGTTATTGGAAAATCAGCTCTTGCAGAAAATGATGTGGTAGGATTCAGCCCCTTCATGCAGCACTAAATTGCCTCACAGTTTAATTGTGTTGCCATCATGCGGCACATATTGTAAACATCTAGTTGTGAGGATACCACTGCATTATCCGATTTGTTCATAAATCAGAGACATGATCCCAACAATGAAGGCCTGTTTTCTGAAAAGCTGCGCACTATTTATGTTAAATGCTTGTTTATTCACGAAATTTGTTTCAGTTCAAAGGTGTCAAGATACAACATAGCGAGAAATGCCAAAGTGCTTCTGTGGTTTCTACAATTACAGGTTCCAGATATTTTTCTGCATACAACTTCAGAGAAGATATAAATGTTGTGCATAGTGTGAAGTTAGTGCTGAGGAGCCCTGGATAAGTAAGAGCCGATGCCGCACTGGGTGATGTTTTCTTACCATTTTAGATTCTCTTGCAGTTTGTCAAGTAGAAACGATTCTAGTACATTAGGAGAGATGTCACGCATTGAGATCTGCAAACAGTGCAGTGGAAAAAAGTGGTGTCCCAGCTTGAGATCTGCAGAGGAGCTGTTGGTTCATATAGCTATTTCACCACTGAAGACGAAGTCAACTATGCACGATGACTGAGGCAAGGGAAATACTATTCGGATAGGTTGGTCACAAGTGGATCGTTGGACCACTTGTGACCAATCTATCCCGGCCACAAAATGACAAAAATATTACTGGCAAGTGTTTCTCAAATTTTTGTTTCGTGCAAAGGGAATTCTCGTCACAAAGCTTGTGAATATAAACAAACAGAATAACTTTCATCAATAACTTTGCTCATTGTGCAACATCACTAAATACAAAGAATCTATTAGTTATTTGTGAAACCAAATAACTGCATATTGCCAGCGATTAAAATATTGGAATCGTCATCTCTCCCTTCATTGCATTTTCACGCCCGTGGAACATTACAATCATTCACAAGCCATCAAATATTCAACATAACTAGTGCAGCTTATCCAGAAGCGCTTTTTATTGTGGGGATTCATGCTTCTCAATATGTGTCTGCAGCAGACTGTGCTGTGGTATGCAGATTATAACAGCTTACAATTTTGGCTGAATGGAGGCGACCCTGTTTGAGCTTGAAACAAGTAGCACACAGTCAGAAATAACTGTACAACCTCAAATATAGACATAAATGGTTATTATGTATTTCGCGTTCAGGGCAATAACATTACAGAAGAGTGAGAAATTCTAAACAATGCAAAAAACACATGCATGACTTGAATGCTGGAAATTAGCAGTTATACAAAAGAAAGTGGAGGTAATGGTTGATGTGACCATTACAAATAGGTTTCATTGTTATTCAAAGGTCTATTACTAAGTAATGCATAAAATGTTAAAGTTGCAAAGTGGGACACCTACTTCGTGATGATGATTGAGACATTATGAAACCCCTAGATATCCTGCAGGATATGCAAGGCATGGCAGAAGTGCTTCACTAGTAATGATACACATGTGCATGCTTCCGTGGGCATGACATCGTCATCAAGATGAGGTCAGTATTGAAATTGTTTTTTGTGCAGGTTAGTCTATAAGCGCCATGTTATTATG